GACAAGAGGCAGGGGTGAGTGTGGTACAGGAGGCAGAGGTGAGTGTACAGGGAGGCAGGGGTGAGTGTGGTACAGGAGGCAGGGGTGAGTGTGGTACAGGAAATATGAGTGATTGTGTTCTAGAGGACAAGGAGAAAGATGTTTGTTTCAATGTGTTTCTTTCACCAATGTTTTGCAGATCTAGATTTTCTGAGTTTTCCACGAGGGGATTGTTTAATAGGCACTTCTGCATCCGTGCAAGACGACGAAGCGCATAAGTGTTTACATGCCTGGAAAGCATTGTGAGTTCATGCTTGTTTCGTGACCATTTTTGGGACGCTATGCCTGAATGGCTGTTTTGCCGTTGTCATATTCAGTAACAGGATGAGTGTGTGGGGGGTGCACACTATCTGTTTATGGAAAGCGGCAACCAAAGCTTGTTTCTAGTGAAGAGGGATATCACAGAGGGACGAGGTGTTGGAGACTTTTGAGTGGGGAAGTTATAGGTTGGTAGGTGAGGATGTCGTGAGAGAGAGTTGTACACCATTGTTTGAAGAAGTGTTGTTGGGATGCTGCTACATCACGTACATTTACATGTAGAGACAAGGAACAACATGAGTAGAGAGATGTTCCATCGTTCAGAGAGGGTAAATTGGTATGAATCGACTTAAACAAAGGTAATTTTCAGGCCATTATATATTCAAATACTGGAATAAATTGGAGAGAAACAAACTTTTGATGAGGGATGGGATGGGTGTGGAGGATGGTGGCGTGGGAAAAGTCGTGGTGTGGAGGGATGGTGGTGAGAGCAGTGGGGGAGGAGGTGTGGGGAGAGTTGTGTGTGGGAGGGATGGTGGGAGGTTGTGGGTGTGGGGGGGTGGAGAGAATTGGTGGGAGGATGGTGGTGGGAGACTTGTGGGTGTGGGAGGATGGTATGGGAGAGTTGTGGGTGGGAGGATGGTGGGTGAGACTTTGTGGTGGGAGGATGGGCATGGGAGAGAGTTGTGGTGTGGGAGGATGGTGGTGTGGGAGATTTGGGCATTGGAGGATGGTGGCGGGAGAGTTGTGGTGGGGAGGATGGTGGCGTGGGAGAGTTGTGTGGGGAGATGGTGTGGAGAGAGTCAGGTGGGGAGGATGGTGGCGTGGGAGGTGGCGGGAGGATGGGTGGCGTGGAGGATGGTGGTGGAGGATTGTTGCTTGAAGGATTGTGGTGAAGTGGTGGCGTGGAAGGATGGTGATGAAGTATGGTGGTGGGTGGCGTGGGGAGTGATGGTACTGGAGGATGGTGGCGTGAGAGTTGTGGTGGGAGGATGGTGGCGTGGATGATGGTGGCGGAGGATGGTGGCGTGGGAGGATGGTAGGTGATGCTGCAGGGTGGCGGATCGTGAGGATGGTGGAGTGGAGGATGGCGGGAAGGATTGGGACGTAGAAGTAGGGTGGCGTGGAAGGATGGTGAGTGGGAAGTATGGTGGCGTGGAATGGTGATGGTGGCGTGGGAGGATGGTGGTGGCAGGATGGTGGCGTGGAGAATGGTGGTATGAGGATGGTGGTGGAGGTGGCGCAAGTATGGTGGCGTGGGAGGATGGTGGTGTGGCAGGATGATGGCGTGGGACGATGGTGGCGTGGAAGGATGGTGGTGTGGCAGGTTGATGGCTTGGAAGGATGGTGACGTAGAAGGACCGTGGCGTAGGAGGATGGGCGTGAAGGATCGGCGTGGCAGGATCGTGGCGTGGCAGGATGGTGGCTTGAAGGATGGTGACGTGGAATGATCGTGGTGAAGCGCGGTGGCGTGGGAGGATAGAGAAAGAGGATGGTGCGACGATGGCGTGAGATGGTGGCGTGGAATGACGTGGTGGGAGGATGAAGGCGTGGAAGGACGTGGCGGGAGGATGGCGGGAAAGGATGGTTGCTGAAGGATTGTGATGTAGAAGTAGGGGTGGCGTGGAAGGATAGTGGCGGGAGTGATGGTGGCGTGCAAGTATGGTGGCGTGGAGGATGGAGTGTGGGGAGGATGGTGGCGTGGGAGGGCGGTGGCGTGCAAGTATGATGGCGTGGGAGGATGGTGGTGGGAGATGGGGTGGGAGGATGGTGGCGTTGAGGATGGTGGCGGGAGGGTGGTGGCGTGTTATGGTGGCGTGGAGGATGGTGGGAGGCAGGCGTGGAGGATGGTGGCGGAGGACTGTGACGCGTAGGTGGCGTGAAGGTTGGTGGCGTGAGGGTGGTGGCGTGCAAGCATGGTGGCGTGGAGTGATGGGGTGTGAGGATGGTGGCGGAAGGTGGTGGTTTCGGATGATTGTGACGCAGAAATAGGGTGGCGTGAAAGATGGTGGTGTGTGGAGGATGGTGGCGTGAGGGTGGCGGGAGGACAGGCGTGGGGAGGACAGTGGGGGAGGATGGGGGTGGAGGATGGTTGGCGAGAGGTGGTGGGAGGAAGTAGGGGTGGCGGGGATGGTGGGTGGGAGGGGATAGTGGCGTGGGGATGATGGTGGGATAGTGGGTGGGATGGTGGGTGGGAGGAGAGGAAGGATGGTGGCGTGGAGGATGGTGGCGTGGGAGGATGGTGGCGTGGGGATGGTGGCGTGGGGGAGGATGGTGTGAAGGATGGTGGGTGAGGATGGTGGCGGGGAGGATGGTGGCGTGAGGATGGTGGTGTGGAAGGATGGTGGCGTGGAGGATGGTGGCGTGGAGGATGGTGGCGTGGAGGATATTGGTGGGGAGGACATTGGCGTGGAGGACGGTGGTGATGACAGTGGGATGATGTGGCGTGATGACAGTGGCGTGATGACGCTGGTGTGGAGTGATGGCGGGGAGCATAGAGCGTGCCAGGGATGGTAAGGATGATGGTGGTGGTGGAGATGGTGATGTGAAAGCATGGTGGCGTGAGTGATGGTGGTGCAAGCATGGTGGCGTGGAGGATGGTGGCGTGAGGGTGGTGGTGTGAGGATGGTGGTGGTGCTGTTGTGGGATGTCTCCATTACAGACAGCAGGCAGAAAGAGAGATGGAGAGAGAGAGAGAGAGAGAGAGAGAGAGAGGGCCAGACAATGTGACAGAGAATAAGAAAAGAGAAGGAGAGAGAGTGAGGGGAGAGATTGGACAGAGAGACAGACTGGTGAATGCTGGTAAATGACTTAAATGAAGTAAATAAAGGAAACAAAGAGACGTTTGACAACATAGATACTGGAATGTAACAATGACTGACAACAAAAGACAAATACATATAGCACACACACAGACAAAGGGAGGGATGGAAAGACAACAGGGAGGTGGGAGGTGAGGTGAGGGAGGGGTGGGGAGGTGAGGTGAGGTGAGGGGGGAGGGGGGAGGTGGGAGGTGAGGAGGGGTGAGACGGAGGTGAGGAGGGGAGGGGAGGAGGAGGTGAGGAGGGGGTGAGGGAGGAGACAGGAGGTGAGGGGAGGACAGAGGTGAGGGGAGAAGAGCATGAGGTGAGGGGAGGAGAGAGAGGTGGAGGGAGGAGGAGACGGTAGGTGAGGGGTGAGGGAGGAGACGGTGAGTAAGGAGGGGTGAGGAGGAGGTGAGGTGAGGGGAGGGGTGAGGAGGAGACGAGGGGGAGGGAGGAGGACGGTGACAGAGGGTGAGGAGGAGAGGAGACAAGGAGGTGAGGAGACGGGGTGAGGAGACGGGGAGGAGGTGGGAGGAGGTGAGGTGAGGAGGTGAGGGGAGGAGGTGAGGGGGGAGGAGAGAGAGGAGGTGAGAGAGGGAGGAGACGGTGAGGGGAGGAGAGGGTGAGGAGGAGACGGGGAGGTGAGGAGGAGATGGTGAGGTGGGAGGGGAGGGGAGGAGATGGGAGGGGTGGGAGGAGGAGAGGGTGAGGGGTGAGGTGAGGGAGGAGACGTGAGTGAGGGGGGAGGGAGGAGACGGTGAGGGGGAGGTGAGGAGACGGTGAGGAGGTGGAGGAGGTGACAGAGGTGAGTGGATGAGGGATGAGGAGGAGGGAGGGGAGAGGGGAGACAGAGGGTGGGGAGGGGAGGGAGGGGAGGGGGAGGAGACAGAGAGAGGTGAGGTGAGGGGAGGAAATGGGAGGTGGGAGGGGAGGGGAGGAGAGAGGAGAGGGGGAGGGGAGGAGACGAGGTGAGGTGAGGGAGGAGCAGAGGTAGGGGAGAGACAGAGGGGGAGGAGACGGTGAGGTGGGGAGGGGTGAGGAGGAGACGGTGGGAGGTGAGGGGTGGGAGACGCAGAGGTGAGGGTGAGACGGTGAGGGTGAGGAGGAGACGGTGAGGGTGGGTGGGGGTGAGGGGAGGAGAGGAGGAGGGAGGTGTGAGGTGAGGGGTGGAGGAGGAGGAGGAGAGGTGAGGGAGGAGAGAGAGGTAGGGGGGAGGGGAGGAGACAGAGGGGAGGAGGTGGGAGAGACGAGATGGGTGGGGAGGGGGAGGGGGAGATGGGAGGGGGAGGAGACGGTGAGGAGGAGACAGAGGGGAGGTGAGGTGAGGAGGAGACGAGGTAGGAGGGGGAGGGAGGTGAGGTGAGGAGGGTGGGGTGAGGGGTGAGGGAGGAGACGGTGAGGGTGAGGAGGAGACGGTGAGGAGTGTGAGGAGAGGAGATGGGAGGGAGGAGGATGTGGGAGAGAAAGGAGGTGAGAGGGTGAGGGAGAGGATGAGGTGAGGGGGGTGAGGGGAGGGGAGATGAGGTGGGGAGAGGTAAGAGGGGGTGAGGTGAGGTGAGGGGAGGGGAGGTGGGAGGTGAGGGAGAGAGGTGAGGGTGGGGAGGGGAGGGGGGGAGAGGGAGGGGGAGGGTGAGGGGAGGGGTGAGGGGAGGGGAGGGGAGGAGGGAGAGGTGAGAGGGAGGAGGGGTGAGGGGTGAGGGTGAGGGTGAGGAGGAGAGGTGAGGTGGAGGAGAGGCGGAGGAGGAGAGCTGTGAAGGAGCAGAGGTGAGGGAGAGACGGTGAGGAGGTGAGGTGTGAGACAGAGGAGGAGGAGGGGTGAGGAGACAGAGGTGAGGAGGAGAGAGGTGGGAGGGGGAAGGAGAGGTGAGGGTGAGGGGGAGGGGAGGTGAGGTGAGGATGAGGGAGGAGACGGTGAGGGTGAGGGTGAGGCAAGGTGAGGGTGGTAGAGACGGTGAGGGGTGGGGAGGGCGAGAGGGAGAGGAGGAGATAAGGGAGGAGGAGGAGACAGAGGGGAGGTGAGGAGGGAGGTGAGGAGGTGAGGAGGAGACGGGGTGAGAGAGGAGGAGATGTGGAGGGGTGAGGTGAGGAGGAGACGAGGGGGAGGGGAGAGGGGAGGTGAGGGTGAGGGAGACGGTGAGGTGGGAGGAGGGAGACGTGAGGGGTGAGGGGCGAGGGGACGAGACGGTGGAGGGGTGAGGCGGAGGTGAGGAGGAGAGGTGAGGGTGAGGATGAGGACACTGGTGAGAGGGAGACAAGGAGGTGAGGGGGAGGGGAGGAGATGGTGAGGAGGTGAGGTGAGGGGAGGTGAGGAGGAGACGAGGTGAGGAGGGAGGGGGAGGAGGATGAGGTGAGGTGAGGGGAGGAGGTGAGGGGAGGATGGGTGGGAAGGAGGGAGGAGACAGAGGTGAGGGTGAGGAGGAGGAGGAGAGGTGAGGGTGAGGGTGAGGGAGGAGACGGGTGGAGGTGAGGTGAGGAGGAGACGGTGAGGAGAGAGGAAGATGAGGTGAGGAGAGAGGTGAGGGAGGTGAGGAGATGGGAGGAGGTGGGAGGGGAGGGGAGGAAAGAGGAGGTGAGGGAGGAGAGAGGGGGAGGGGAGGAGAGAGGGGGAGGGGGAGGGGAGAGGGGAGGAGAGGTGAGGGAGGTGGGAGGAGGGGTGGGAGGAGGAGACGAGGTGAAGGTGAGGGGAGGAGACGGGAGGGGTGAGAAGGGAGGGGTGAGGGGAGGAGACGGTGAGTGAGGTGAGGGTGAGACAGAGGTGGGAGGAGGAGACGGTGAGGTGAGAAGGAGGGTGAGGGAGAGACTGTGAGGGTGAGATGAGGGGTGATGATGAGGGAGGTGAGGGGAGACGTAAGGAGGTGAGGTGAGGAGGAGAGGGGTGAGGGGAGAGACAGAGGGGGGAGGGGGAGGTGAGAAGGAGGGGAGGTGGGAGGAGGTGAGGTGAGGTGGGAGGAGGTGAGGAGGACAGGAGGGTGAGACGTTGAGGTGAGGTGAGGGTGAGGAGGAGACGGTGAGGGTGAGGTGAGAGGAGATTTGGAGGTGAGGAGGGAGGAGGAGACGGTGAGGTGAGGGGATGAGGAGAGGAGGGGGAGGAGAGGTGAGGGGGAGGAGAGAGAGGGGTGAGGAGGAGGAGGAGATGGGGTGAGGGGAGGAGACAGAGGTGAGGGGTGGGGAGGAGGAGACAGAGGTGAGAGGGGGAGGGGGATGAGGGGAGAGACGAGAGGGGTGAGGTGAGGGAGGAGACAGAGGTGAGGAGGGGTGAGGAGGAGACAGGAGGGAGGGGTGAGGGGAGGAGACAGAGGGAGGGGAGGTGAGGACAGACGAGGGGAGGTGAGGAGGAGACAGAGGGGGAGGGGTGAGGGGAGGAGACGGTGAGGGTGAGGTGAGGGAGGAGACTAAGGAGTGGGAGGGTGAGGTGAGGACAGGATGAGGAGGTGAGGGGGAGGTGAGAGGGTGAGGGTGAGGGGATGAGGGGAGGAGGGGGAGGGGAGGGGATGAGACGGTGAGGGGAGGGGAGGAGAGGGGAGGTGGGAGGTGGGAGGAGGGGGGAGGAAGGGGGAGGAGACAGAGGAGGTGGGAGGAGGTGAGAGAGAGGTGGGTGGGAGGTGGGAGACGAGGGGGAGGAGGAGACGGTGGAGGGGAGGGTGAGGGAGGGGAGGGGTGAGGGGTGAGGAGAGGGTGAGGGAGATGCAGGAGTGTGGAGGAGGGAGGGGTGAGGGGGAGAGGTGGAGGGGGAGGAGACAGAGGAGGAAGGGAGAGGGAGGAGGAGACAGAGGTGAGGGGTGAGGTGGAGACGGAGGTGAGGGGAGGGGAGGTGAGAGAGAGGAGGAGAGGGGGAGGGGTGAGGAGACAGAGGTGGGGGAGGTGAGGAGGAGACAGAGGGAGGGGTGAGGAGAGATGCAGAGGTGAGGGGTGAGGGGTGGGAGACAAGGAGGTGAGGGGTGAGGAGGAGGGTGAGTAAGGGAGGGAGGTGAGGTGAGGGGTGAGGGGAGGAGACGGGGAGGGTGGGAGGTGAGGTGAGGAGAGACGGTGAGGGGAGGAAGGGAGGGGTGAGGGTGGAGACGGTGAGGTGAGGGATGAGAGAGGACAGGAGGTGAGGGAGGGAGGTGAGGGGAGGTGAGGGGGAGGAGAGGTGAGGGGGAGGAGACGGTGAGGTGAGGTGGGGAGGTGAGGAGGAGGGAGGGAGGTGAGGGGGAGGTGAGGTGAGGTGAGGAGGAGACAGAGGTGGGAGGTGAGGAGGAGACGGGAGGGGGAGGTGGGAGAGGGAGGGGTGAGGGAGGACGGTGAGGGGGAGGAGGAGGGGTGAGGGGTGGAGACGGTGAGGGAGGAGGAGACGGTGAGGGTGAGGGTGAGGGTGAGGAGGAGGTTGAGGGAGGAGGGTGAGGGGTGATGAGGATGAGGTGGAGGAGGGAGGTGAGGTGAGGAGGAGGGGAGGAGACAGAGGGGAGGGGAGACAGAGGGGAGGAGAGGAGGGGAGGGAGACAGAGGGGGGAGGGGAGGGGAGGAGACAGAGGGGAGGGGAGGAGACAGAGGTGAGAGGGGTGAGGGGAGGTGAGAAGGAGGGGAGGGGAGGAGGAGGGGTGAGGTGAGGTGAGGTGAAGGGAGGTGAGAGGAGACGGAGGAGGTGAGGGAGACGGGGAGGGGAGGAGAGAGGTGAGGTGAGGTGAGGAGGAGACGGTGAGGTGAGTGAGAGGTGAGGGAGGAGACTGTGAGGAGGAGGGGTGAAGGTGAAGGAGGGTGGGGTGAGGGAGGAGGGAGGGAGGGGGAGGGGGAGGTGAGGTGGGAGCAGAGGTGGGAGGGGTGAGGTGAGGGAGGAGACGGTGAGGTGAGGGGGGAGGAGGGGAGGAGATGGGGAGGGGGTGAGGGAGGAGACAGGAGGGGTGGGGAGGTGGGAGGAGACAGAGGTGGGAGGTGAGGGGAGGAGGAGGGAGGGGAGGAGAGGTGAGGGGGAGGAGGAGGAGGAGAGGTGAGGGGTGAGGAGGAGACGGTGAGGGGTGAGGGGTGGGGGGAGGGGAGGAGGAGGAGGAGACGAGAGGGTGAGGGGAGGGGAGGAGACGAGAGGTGAGGAGGAGGACAGGAGGGTGAGGGAGGGGTGAGGGAGGGTGTGAGATGAGGTGAGGAGGAGAGGAGGAGGAGAGGGGTGAGGGGTGAGGAGGAGGGGAGGAGACAGGAGGTGAGGTGAGGGAGGGGTGGGGAGAAGGAGGAGGAGACAGGGGGGAGGGGAGGAGGAGGGGTGAGGTGGGAGGAGATGGGAGGGGAGGATGAGAGGAGACGAGGGGAGGGGAGGAGATGGTGAGGGGGAGGGAGGGAGGTGGGAGACGGTGAGGTGAGGAGAGACAGAGGTGAGGTGGAGGAGGAGACGGTGAGGTGGGAGGGAGGGGAGAGAGGGTGAGGAGGGTGAGGAGGAGACGGTGAGGTAGGGAGGGGTGGGAGGAAGGAGGGGTGAGGGGTGAGGAGGTGAGGTGAGGTGAGGAGGAGAGGTGAGGTGGGTGAGGAGGTGAGGGGGGAGGGAGACAGGTGAGGGTAGGAGGAGGTGAGGTGAGGGGGAGGTGGGAGGAGGAGACGGGTGGGAGGAGGAGGGGAGGAGACAGAGGGGGAGGGGAGGTGAGGGAGGAGGGGAGGAGGTGGGAGGAGGAGGGGTGAGGAGGAGGTGGGAGGAGAGGGGAGGAGACGGTGAGGGGTGGGAGGAGGACAGAGGGGGAGGGGGAGGAGGAGACGGTGAGGTGGTGGGAGGTGGGAGGGAGGAGACGGGTGAGGTGAGGGGTGAGGGAGGTGAGGAGGGTGGGGAGGGGAGGAGACGGTGAGGGTGAGGAGGAGAGACGGTGAGGGTGAGGGTGAGGGTGAGGAGGAGATGATGAGGGAGGGTGAGGGGTGAGGGGTGGGAGGGGATGAGGAGGAGGGAGGGAGAGACGGGGGAGGAGATGGGAGGGGGAGGAGGTGAGGAGGAGGAGACAGAGGGGGAGGAGGAGGAAGGAGGAGGAGGGAGGGGAGATGGGAGGGGAGGATGAGGAGGAGACGGTGGGAGGGGTGAGGGAGGAGACAGAGGGGGAGGGTGAGGGGAGGAGAGGTGAAGGAGGAGGAGACGGTGGGAGGGGTGGGGAGGGGAGGAAGGAGTGGTGAGGTGAGGGGGTGAGAGAGGATGAGGACAGAGGATGAGACGAAGAGGAGGAGGAGGAGGTGAGGTGGAGGAGATGGGAGGTGAGGAGGATGAGGGGGAGGGAGGGGGTGAGAGGAGAGGGGAGAGGAGGGGAGGTGAGGTGAGGTGAGGGGAGGTGAGATGAGAGGTGAGGTGAGGGGAGAGACGAGAGACGGTGAGGTGAGAGAGACGGTGAGGTGAGGTGAGGAGGAGATGATGAGGTAGGGGAGGAGGAGACAGGAGGGGGAGGAGGAGAGGTGAGGGGAGGGTGAGGGATGAGAGGTGAGGGGGAGGGAGGAGGAGACGAGGGTGAGGATGAGGACGAGATCTGGTGAAGGGTGGGGGTGAGGGAGGAGGAGATGGGTGAGGTGAGGATGAGGGAGGAGGGGGAGGTGAGGAGGAGGGAGGGGTGAGGTGAAGGTGAGGGAGGTAGGGAGGAGATGGGAGGAGACGAGGGGAGGGGTGAGGGGTGAGGAGGAGGTGAGGTGAGGTGAGGTAGAGGAGGTGAGGAGGAGAAGGAGGTGAGGGAGGACGGGTGAGGGGTGGGGAGGGGTGAGGGGTGAGGGAGGAGACAGTAGGGTGAGGAGGAGACGGTGAGGGTGAGGTGAGGAGGAGACAAGAGGGAGGGTGAGGAGGAGACGGTGAGGAGGAAGGAGATGGGGAGGGAGGAGGAGACGAGGTGGAGATGGGAGGTGAGGTGAGGTAAGGAGCAGAGGGAGGAGGACAGAGGTGGGAGAGGAGGAGGGGAGGAGGGGAGGGGAGGAGACAGAGGGAGGGAGGGAGACAGAGGGGAGGGGAGGTGAGGAGGAGGTGTGAGGGGAGGTGAGGTGAGGAGGAGACAGAGGAGGGAGGGGTGAGGAGGAGAGGGAGGGAGGGAGGTTGAGGAGGTGAGGAGACGGTGAGGGGAGGAAGGAGGTGAGGAGAGGTGAGGTGAGGTGAGGAGGAGACTAAGGAGGGTGAGGGGTGAGGGGAGGAGACGGTGAGGGGTGAGGAGAGGAGTGGAGAGATGAGATAAGGAGAGGTGAGGAGATGGGTGAGATGAGGTGAGAGAGGTGAGGTGGGGGAGGAGGGGAGGGGAGGACAGAGGGGGAGGAGAGGGGAGGAGGGAAGGAGACAGAGGGGAGAGGTGAGGAGGAGACGGTGAGGGGTGAGGGTGAGGGGAGGAGACGGTGAGGGGTGAGGGGTGAGGGAGGAGGCGAGGGTGAGGGTGAGGTGAGGAAAGAGTGGGGAGGAGGAGGAGGAGGGTGAGGGGGAGGAGATGATGGAGGAAGGAGGTGAGGGGAGACAGAGAGAAGGAGGTGAGGGGGAGGAGGTGAGGAGGTGAGGGGTGAGGTGAGGGGAGGAGGATGGGAGAGGGGGAGGTGAGGGGAGACGGTGAGGTGAGGTGAGGGAGGAGACAGAGGGGTGGGAGGGAGACGAGGAGGTGAGGGGAGGAGAGGAAGGAGAAGGAGGGGTGGAGGGGAGGGAGAGGTGGGAGGTGAGGAGAGGGTGAGGGAGATGGTGAGGTGAGGGGTGAGGAGGAGACGTGAGGGAGGAGGTGAGGGTGAGGGGTGGAGATGGGAGGGGAGGTGAGGAGAGTGAGAGGGAGGGGTGAGGAGGAGACAGGGAGGGGTGAGGGGGAGGGGTGGGAGGGAGGGAGGTGAGGTGAGGGAGGAGGATGAGGGGGAGGTGAGGGAGGAGACAGGGAGGGGAGGTGAGGAGGAGGGGAGAGGAGGTGGGTGAGGAGAGTGAGGGGAGGGGAGGTGAAGAGGGAGGAGGAGACGGTGAGGAGGGGGAGGTGAGGTGGGTGAGGGGAGGTGAGGGAGAGACGTGAGGGTGGGAGGTGGGAGGAGACAAGGAGGGTGAGGGGTGAGGAGGAGACGGTGAGGAAGGAGGAAGGAGGGTGAGGTGGAGAAAGAGGTGTGTGAGGGGTGAGGTGGGAGAGGTGAGAGGTGAGGAGGAGATGGTGAGGGAGGGGTGAGGAGGAGGAGGAGGGGTGAGGAGGAGACAGAGAGGAGGAGACAGAGGGGTGAGGTGGAAGAGAGGAGGTGAGGTGGGAGGAGGAGACGGAGGGGAGGAGGAGGGAGGAGACTGAGGGTGGGGAGGTGAGAGGGTGAGGGTGAGGGTGGAGGGAGGAGACGGTGAGGGTGAGGGGTGAGGGTGAGGGTGAG